GTCATATTTTACATTCAATCGTACACGCTTTGTTTTATAACATAATTACAGTTGCTTAATGTAAGTAGGTAATTGCAATGTTAAACCAACTTCTTATTGCATATTGCTGTTCCCTTCACCCAACTTACCTATTTATTACCTTCTCATCCCTAATAACCATCAGAACAATTCTGTCTGTATATGAGCCTTCCCGTAGCTTTTTTCCTTTTTTGCTCTTTTTAAAAAAATTAATTTTAATGAACATTTACAAAGACTTAGGGTGTCCAGTCATTCATTGTTGCACTTTTCTCCCTGCCCACCCCCTCCTCCCCAATTCACTCTTTTCCTTGAAAAGTAAAACTCTGACTATTATGCAATCCCTCCCCCATGTCCACTCTACTGTGCAGCCTTCATTCTGGACTCCTGTAATGACAGTACTCAATCATATATCCCCTTTTAACAGTTCTTTCTCTCATCTGTTTCCATGCAGTATATTATTCCTCCCCGCCTTCTCTGTCTTCCCTCAACCCTGATGTCAGTCCCGTTTTACAATAGTGGCCCTATGCAATATTTGTCCTTTTGTGACTGAAATATTTCACTCAACATAATGTCCTCCAGGGTCATCCATTTTGCATAATATTTCATGAGTTCCTCGTTTTCAGTGCTGCATAATATTCTGTTGTGTGAACATATCAGAGCTTCTCTATCCATTCGTTTGTTGATGGGCACTTGGGCTTTTTTTTTTTAATTATACTGTTTAATTTACAAAGTTCATATACATTGTTTTTCATACCAGATTTTTCCCATTTCCTTCACCCTCCCTCCCCAACCCATCAAATTGTGTGACTTTTTGATTACTCATTCTACAATAATGGTCTTATACAGAATTTGTCCTTATGGGACTGAGGTGGGCATTTACTTAGCATAATGCCCTCCAGTCCCTCCCAAGTTTGGTAGTAATTTACATAATCATTGCTCCTGCGTGTAATAGTCAATCGTGTGAATGTACCATAGTTTCTCAATCCATTCCATTGTGCTTAGACATTTGGGCTGTTTCTATTTCTTGCGATGGTGAATAACACTGGTATGAATATTGGTGTACAATTCTCTGTGCCTCAGTTCTCATTCTCTCGGCCTATATTCCAAGGAGTGGAAAATAGGTAGGTCATATGGAGTTTTTATGTTCAGCTTTTTGAGGAAGTGCCAAACTGCCTTCCAGAAAGGTTGTACCATTTTACAATCTCACCAGCAATGTATAAGAGTTCCTATCTTGCCACTTCCTCTGCAACATTTATTATTTGCTGACCTGTTAAACTTTGCCACAGCTGCTGGGAGTGAGATGGTATCTCATTGTGGTTTTGATTATCATCCCTTATTTCCAGTGATGATGAGCATTCATAATCTTCATGTGTCTGCTGGCCACCCGAATATCTTTATCTGTGAAAATTCTTTCCATGTCTTTTGCCCATTTTGTAATTGGGTTATCAGGCTTTTCCTTTGGAGGCTCCATGGCTTCTTACAGTAGTAGTCTTAAAATGTAATTGTCCATTTGTGACAATTGTATAACCAGTAATAATTTGTTGTAGATTGATCCATGTTGTACACTATTTCATGAATTTTTAATCTTTTAAAGTGCTGTTTAGTAGCCTTTAGACACTATAATTATTATTATCCATTTTCCCCCTCTATCATGGAGAGTAGCTGTGATTTGGAATTGTCTCCATGGTAGTGAATTTTGAGTAAGTTCTGCAGCTTTTACTTGAAAGGGCTCTAAGGCTAACTTGAAAGTGAAATACATCTTTAGATTTTATAACATTTATTCTTGCCCTTAGTAATTTAATTCCATTTAAGAAAAGTGGAAAATATATACATGCCATTTCAACCAGTCTTATGTGGACAGTTATTTTTATTCACTGTGTGGCATCTTTTGTAAATTTTATTTGAACATAGCTTTGCTGTTCATTTCAGTTATCCATGACTGCAGAGATTAACAAGATTATTCACAAATTAGTGCTTGATTACCAGTATAATATCATCCTTGACAAATTAGATGCCAGATTTTATGGACATTGAATTAGAACTTTCCCTTTTATGGTAGGATCCCAGAGAATGTTCTCAAAGCCTCTCTGCCACAGTTTGAGTTACACAGTAGTACAGGTCTATAGAGAGGGACATCATGCTGGGTAGAGTAGAGGGACAGCGCAGGAGGGGAAGACCCTCTATGAGGTGGGTTGATACAGTGACTGGGGTAATCGGGATGGGTGTGTCAGAGGCAATGAGATTGGCACAGGATAGAGCAGGGTTTAGGGCTGTTGTACATAGGGTCGATATGAGTCACAAACGACTCGACGGCACATAACAACAACAACACTTACCTTATAGTCTGTTAATTGAGAACTTCGGGAAGGAAAGGTGAAGTGCCTTTTACCTACTCAGATTGTAGAAAATGGTTTTTAAAATACCACTTAATTATTCTGCTTATTTAATAAATTGAATGTCAGGATTGTCTGTCCTTCTTACCTTCTTTTTCATCATTCCTACTCTTTTTGAGTTGTTTTTTGTTTTTACGTGTTTTTTTAAAATAATTGGATATTTTCAGTGCTTCAAATTTACAATATCTGCTGTCTTTTATAACTATTGTCTTTGCCTTCGCTGGTGTTTAAAGGGTTCTTATAGAAAAATTGGCTAAAACTTTAATTTTTTTTTTTTCAAGCAACTTTTCTTTTGAACACTTGTAATGTCTTACCCTGGGAATCACAAAGATGTTTGTATTTCATAATAACGAATTTCCTTTGGAAATAGATATTTTTTGTTTCATACTTTGGAAAATACTGTTGGAAAGAGATCCAGCCACAAGTTTTATCTGACTAGCAAGTATTTATGGCACTGAAAAAAAAATTACTTTGACTGAATTCCTGTTTTAAGAATACATGATAAATCAGTGATTGTGTGGTTATTGTTGTTGTTACGTACTGTCAAGTAGAGTAGTGACTCTGTGAACAGTGGATCTGAACCCTGTTCTATCCTGCACCATCCTCACACTTCCTAACACACAGTTGCCCATTGCAGCAGTTACCATGTCAATCCACCTGGGTGAGGGTCTTCATCTCTTGCGCTAATTGTGTAGTAGATGTCATGCTGCTTTTGAGTCTGCTCCAACTCATGAGTTGAGTTGAACTCATTGCTGCTGAGTCAGTTTAGCAGAGTAGAACTGTCCTTTAGGGTTTTGAAAGGCTATAGATTTTCATGATCGTGAACAGCCACATCTTTCTCCCAGAATAGCTATTGGATTTGAACCTTTTGGCCAGCATCCAAGTGCATTTTTTAAGGTATTTTTAAACTTTCGAATCCCACTTCACTTCCTTAGTTAATAAGGTTGGTTGACCACCTTCCAAAAATTAAGCAGTAAACATCTTGATCTTAGTTTATTCCCATTACTATTCCTTAAATATTACAAAATGTAACAGTATTATGAGTAACACCATTGTGAAGAAGTCAACTGCATTTATAGTCTCCAAGGGATGGTTAGAAATTGTTTTTAAAGAAGTAATTTTTAATAGGGGAAAACAAAAAATAACCTAAGGGAAAATTTAAACAAAGATGTGAAAGCCCTTTATTTTTAAAAAAGCATGTTCTTTTATTTTCAAATATTAGTGAGCCGTGGTGGCCTAGTGGCAAGAAGTTGTGCTGCAATCGTAAAGGCTCGGGTTTGAGACCACCATCTGCTTCTCAGGAGAAGGATGGACAGTCTCTTCCTGTGTGATTCACTGCCTCTGAAAACCTACATTAGGGTCAGCAATGGGAGAGAGGATCAGCTGTGGGTCAGCTCTGACTCATGGTGCCCAACAACATTCCTCAGTCTAGCAAGGAATAAAGGATTTTCCACTTTTTCTCATACACAGATAATCCTGTATGATACACCCAGAGACTCTGTGTGTGTTGGTGTTGTTAGGTTTCATCAAGTTGAGTAAATCTTAGAGCAATCCTATAAATAGGTGACCTGAACCCTCTCTTACCCTGCTCCATCCTCATCATCTTGTAGAGCCCGTTGCTGAAGAGTCATTGTGACTGTCTGCCTCATTGGGGGTCTTTGTCTCCTTTGCTGACGCCATCTTTTCAAAAATGGGAGACAAGATATATGTGTATGTGTGTTGATGTGTGTATATATATGTAATATCTAGGCTTTCAGATCCTATCATAGGCATATTATTTGGGCCACTTGCTTAATCTGGATTTTTGGCTCTTTATCTATATTATGTTGTTAAATGCCATCAAGTCGAGTACGACTGTTAGTGACCCCATGAACAAAAGAACTGAAGCCAATACTATTAACTCTGGTAATTTCTCTGTATTCATAGTTTCTAGAGGCCTGTGGTTTTGGAAGCGGATGCCACTCTTGCATCTATGTTATGTTGTTGTTGTTGTTGTTGTTGTTGTTGTTATGTACCATTGAATCACCTGAGAATCATAGCAACCGTATGTACAACGACTCTGAACCCTCATCTATCTTGAGCCAACCTCACCATCTCCGACACACCTACCCCCATTACTCCAATCACTGAGTCAATCTATCTCATCAAAGGTCTTCCCCTCCTCCACTGGAATAATAATAATATTCCTTATACTAGTTGTGGGATGATTAAAAAAAAAGAAAATAACACATACAGCACCTGTTGTCTGGTACATTGCTTTATATATACAAACTTCTTATGTTGAAAAGCCAGACAAATCTGAATGGAATTTAGAATTTTGTTGGGGTAGTGGGAGAGAATGGGATTGAGAATTGTGATCATTTTTCCTTGTAGAATTGGATCAGTGGTTTTTGTTGAATGGAAAAACTTTCCCTCATAGAGGTAGACCTCTTTTGCCTGAAAGAGAATTTAGGTGCAGAAATAGCATGAGGGAATGCATAGGCTTGGGATTAGGAAAGGGTAGTTTAGAGTCTAGTTCTTTATGCAGAGCAGTGAATAAAAGTATACTTGTCAGTGAATTTAAGTTTTCCTTAAGTTATCTGTTTGCAGAGCGGTGGAATTTTTCATCAGAGATAAATATGAAAAGAAGAAATACTACGATAAAAATGCTATAGCAATTACAAATGTAAGTAACACTAGAATCTTTCTCATCAGTTGAAATTTGTTGTTGAGAGCTCAGACTGTAAGCATAAAATATAGCTCAGTTACTGACTGAAAATATACTGGTTACAGATGTCTATTTTAACAAGATCTTGCAAAGCAGAAATTGGGTTCAGAAAAGAGCATATTGGAAAATGAGTTTAATAATTTCTTAAGTGACATTTCATTAATTGTATGATGTTTGGAAAAAATTAAAGCCATTAACTGGAGAAAGGGAGAGAAAAAGACAAAAAGGAAGGTAAATTTACCCTTCCCCAGTGGGAGAGAGGGACTGTTTTAAAACAATGTAATTTTGTTTATTAAACTACTCTACAGGCATGAGATGAGTAACTACAAAGAACGTTAAAACATGCCAATACATTTATTAGCATTTTGATACTTCTGATACTTTAAAATTCAATATGGTGATTACATGTATTATTACATCTACTTTATTTTTAATCCATTTCTGTTCCATTTTCTCAACACTGTTAATTGCTGTTTTAAAGCTAATTGTCTTTATTGTTGAAATAAAGATTTTTTGGTCTTTGATTTCTAGGAACCAGTAAATCTGTGGTTAAATCATATGTCAAACAATTTAGAGATAATAATTTTATCTTATGTGCAAACTGTATTTTTCTTTGCAGGACATATGGTATTGAATTATTTTGAAAATGTAGTCACAGCTGACTAAAGATATTTTAATACGCTTGTTTTACCATTATGAAAAAAAATTAAATTTTCTTATCATTAGTATGTATTCTAAAGCAAAGATAACCCTGTACACAGTTTAAACTTTATTTACAAGCGAAATGGAATAGAGTGGTATAATATTTTCATGTTCTATTCTGAGAAATAGTTTTATTTTATGAAACATACTGCTTATTATGGCTAAAGTCTCTTGGGATACCAAAACAAAAGGGACATGGCTTCTTTTCAGAAAGATTTAATTTTTATTCAGGTAAGATTAGGTTAAAAATATAAACAAAATTAAGGCAAAATAAAAATAGCTTGTACAGATTATAATTTAATTTTAAGAGGAATGTTTAAGAAGGCATATGTGACTAATTCTTGTACTTTGATATAATGAAATGTCTTAATGGCCATTTAACTGAGCTGTACCATTTACTCCTCTTAAATATTTTTACTTTTTTTTTTAAAAAAAATATTTTTTGTGTATGTACCTGTCAAATCATATCTGACTGGTACAGGAGGAGATTGCCCCTCCTTCTCCAGCAGAGCATCTGGTGGATTTGAACCACATATCTCTGGGATTGCAGAATATTTTTACTTTTATAGCTTACTTTTTTCCCCCCCAGTTTTAAATTTCATTTTCCATGCTGTTAGTATGTGTTACTGCTCTTACTTTGTTTCCTTACCTTACTTAATATTCCTGTAGTAAGAATCTCAAGTTAATGCCATTTCTTTATATGAGGCAGTAGTTTTTACCTTGGGGAGAACTTTGGAGAGGAGAAAAATATCCAACACTAATAAATTTCTTCCAAGAGCTATTCAAGATGACCTTATTGCACTCTTTACAGTTTTGTGCCCTGTTGCTCTTCTTTTTCTGTGTTTCAGTTCAATCTCTCACAGAAATCAGATTGACTATATCTTAGGAAAGAAAGGAGAAACTCAATAACCACAGCCAAATTAAGGCCAAGGGTTGACAGTGAAGTGGATTATCAGTTAGTCATATGTGAATTCAAATTGAAGTTGAAGAAAACAGAAACAATTTTTAAACCAGAAAAAAACCTTAATATTATCCCATCTTAATATAATAACCATCTTAAGAATAGATTTGATATTTACAAAAACAGTCATCATTTGAAACACAGTGTCACTATAGGAATGTGTAAAACAATGTACGTGAATGGTACATAATGTATAAGAATTTTTTAAATTTTCTGTTAGTTTGCTTACATAGTTCGTATGCATTGTGTTTCATAAAATCATTGCCATCCATAATGTTTTATAAAAATAATCACCATGAGACCTTGCCCATCATTACCTTGCCTTTTCAGGGTCCTGCTGAATCCTTCCCATTTCCTTCATCCCCTCCCTCCACCCACCAAATTGTGCAACCAGGTGACTTGTGACTTAACCACTACCTGTTCTCACCCCTCTGCTCCCAGCCCTTCCCCTTTGGGTCCCCTATACATGATTTACTAGTTATTCTTCTATTTTTACAGTAATTGTCTTATGCAGTATTTGTCCTTATAATACTGTTAGTTTACTCAGCATAATGCTCTCCAGTCTATCCCAAGTTAGGTAATATTTTTCAAAATCAGAATAAGAGACTGTGTCATGTAAATAAGAAATGTATGTGCCAGGGCTCTATCATTTCTCCATACCTACCCATTCTGTATGCTGGGCATACATAGCTGAAGTACCTGAAGAAAATGTGGCATCATGATTGGAGGAAGACTCATCCACAAACTGCATTATGCAGATTATGCAACCTTGTTTGAAGAAAGTGAAGAGGACTCACTGTAGAAAACCAAAGACTGTAGCCTTCATCTCCACATTAAGAAAACAGAAACCCTGACTTTTGGACCAGTAGATAACATCATGATACATAAAGAAAAGGTTGAAATTGTCAACAGTTTAATTTTACTTGAATCCAAAATCAACACCGTTGATAGCAATAGTCAAAAAATGAAAAGGCATATTGTATTGGAAATATCTACTGTCAAGGACCTCTCAGACATCCTAATGAGCAAGGATGCCAGTTTAAAGAGTAAGGTGTTCCTGATTGAGGCCATGGCTTTTTCTAGTTACTTCCTATGCTTCTAGAAGTTAGACAATGAATAAAGATAATATAAAAATAAAAACTTGATGCCTTTGACTTACGATATTGAAGAAAAGAACTAAATATCCCATGGATTACCAAAAGAACAAGCAAGCCTTTCTTAGAAGGAAATGCTGCTGGCATGTTCCTTAGAGTCAAGGACAGTGAAACTTGATCTCATGTACTTCGAGTATGTTGCCAGGAAAGACCAGTCCTTGAAAAAATACATGCTGGAAAAGCTCAGAGATAAAGAGGAAGACTAAACAAGATGAATTGACACAGTGATTATGACAGTGGGCTCCAGGATCATCAGAGATGGTGAGGATACCCAGGATGGGGCATGGTTCGGATTTGCTGTTCATAGGGTCAGTATAAGTCATTGTCAACTTGATGGCACCTGATAACAGCAAATTTCGTACCCTTCTTTAACATAAACATTTCAGAATAATTGTTATTACAAAATACAAAGCAATAGAACATAACAAAATAGTGGCAGATCCCCCCCCCCATATGTAATTGCTCTCCTCAACATTTATTGTTTGAGTGATCTAAGCCCCACTTGAATTACGATTCAAAGTATGAGAGTTATTAATGTGGATCTTTGGTCATTCCTTGTAATTTATTTCAGTTGTGAGTATAACTTCAGCCAGCTGTTAGTAAGTATATACATATTAACATAAACACAAAACATAAGAGAAAGTAGATGAGGTGTTGGCATTTATGAAATGGCTTTGCTACACACTGTAGTTTTGAGTACTGTAATACTAAGTATGAAATATCAACAGCCTGCATTATGCAGATGACAAAGCCTTGCTTGCTGAAACTGAGGCAAACCTGAAGGACTTGCTGCAGAATGTCAAGGACTGTAGACTTCAGTATGGATTGAAGCTCAATCAACATCAAGAAGACAAAGATTCTCACCACTGGGCCAATTGGCAGCACCATGATAGATGGAGAGGAGATTGAGGTTGTTAATAAGTAACAGCTTGCTTGGTTCCACAATCAACACTCTTGGCACCAGTAGCCAAGAAATCAAAAGACAAATTGCACAGAGAAAATCTGATGTCAGGGACCTTTCCAGAATACTGAGAAGCAGTGATGTCAGTCTAGAGACCAAGGTGCATCTGATCCAGGCCATTGTCTTTGCATTTACTTGTTATGCCTCAGAGAGCTGGACAATGACTAAGAATGATAGAAGAAGAATTGATACCTTTGAGTTGTGCTGGAGAAGAGTCTTGAACATACCACAGACCTCCAAGAAAACAAATAGCTCTGTTTTGGAGAAGGTGAAACCAGATTTCTCCTTGGCTAGGATTTTGAAGTTACATCTCACATACTTTGGGCATATGGACAGAAGGGACCAGTCCTTGGACATAGACATTATACTTAGAAGGGTGGAGGAACAGCGCAGGAAAAGACGACCCCGGATGAGATGGATTGATACAGTAACTGGAGTAATGAGGGTAGGTGTGTTACAGTCAGTGAGACTGGCTTAGAATAGGCTTCAGAATAGGATAGGCTTCAGAGCTGTTGTTCATAGGATTGCTGTGAGTTGCAAGCAACTCAACAGCACATAACAACAAAGAGAAGAGTGAAAATCACATAAAAATTTAAACAAAAAATATATTTCATGTTGGAATATTTTTGTATTGAAAGGATATTTTAGGGATTCACAAATTGAAACAAAAAAACCCTGGTGTTCTGCTATTTTGCATCTTCTAGGAATGTCTACCTTGTGTTTCATTGACTATGCAAAGGCATTTGACTGTGAGAATCATAACAAACTGTGGCTGACTCTGAGAAGAATGGGAATCCCAGAACACTTGATGGTGCTTATGTGAAACCTATATTTAGACCAGGAGGTAGTCATCAGAACAAAGCAAGGAAACACTGTATGGTTCAAGATTGAGAAGGGTTTGTGTCAAGGATGTGTCCTATCAATATCTTTTCAATCTATATGTGGAAGAGATTATCTGGTAGGTTTGGCTCTATGAGGAGAAGTGTAGAATCAAGATTGGAGGTAGACTTATCAACAATCTGCATTATGTAGACACAACCCTGCTTGCTGAAACTGAGGAGGACCTGAAGTACTTGCTAAGGACTGCACCCTTCAATATGGATTGAAGCTCAACATCAAGAAAACAAAGTTTCTCAGCACTGGACCAATTGGCAGTGTTGTGATGGATCATGAAGAGATTGAGATTGTTGACAGCTTTTTATTCTCCTTTATATATTGTTATATATGTCAGCTGTTTTGGGCAAAGGAGATATTGTAACTTTTAATTAATATTATAACTTTTATTATCTTTTAAATTTATTTTCTTAAGTGTCTTTTCTATACAAAGTGGTAATTTAGGATTTTTATCAAGTAAATATCTACTAGGCAAACAGTCTTTGAAATAAGACACTAAGGTGCAGCTTGGTTTGTTGTCTTTTTTTAAATTATGATGTTGTGTATTAGAGCCAACCCATAGCTAACTCTCTAGTGGGTTTTGAGAGGCAGATAATCACACAGGAGGAGATTGTGCATCTTTCTCCATGGAGCAACTGTTGGATTTGAACCTTATGTCTTTGAGTTGGCAACACAACTCCATTCCACTAAACCAGCAGAGCTTGGTCTAGAGATTTCCTTGTGTATATCTTTTAATCATAATTTCTGTTAGTAGTTATTAAATGTCCAGCTTGCTTATTTCCAACAGAGACAACTGTATTTTTTTATATTTTTTACAACTGTATTTTTTAAAATTTAGTTTATCAGCTTTGATTGTAATTTAAAAACTAATGTCATAATTAATTTAATAAAAAGCAGATTGAAGATTTGTCACTTTACAATGTTATTTTAGCGTTCTGTAATGACCTATTGGTAATAGTATTTATTTAAAGAAATTACTTACAGGCACTATTGATAACATAGCACAGTATGGACACTTGTCAGTTTTATAGCTCCACATGTCTTCTTCACATATTTAAATCTATTTCAGTTAGATTTTGGCATTAAAGAGAGAAGGAAGATAATGCTTTTAAAGCCATCAACTATGCTTGTAGATATTGGATATGAAGATGAGGTGTGAAAAAGCTTTTAGATGAAACCCATTTTCATGTGTAAATTGCATCTGTTGCATTTATAACTGTCATAATGCTTTGGGATAATTCAGCAAGTGTCTCTGGAAATGGTATGTTTGTGTGCTGATTTTAAGGGATTATATAAATTGGTTTCTAATATGTTTGCCTGTTGCTCCACTGTTATTTTACAATAATCTACTACTCAGCCTTTTCTTGTTTGCTAATTTACTAGATTAAAATTTTTAATGAAGTTAAAACCATTTTAGTTAACCATTTTAGTTATTGTATTTTTCATTATTAAAACTGACTTGTAAATAAAAGTAAACTTTTGTGGTTTTTCACTATTTGGGGACAATGTGTCTTTATGTTTGAACATTAATGTTTCAATAGTAACACTGGCTGTAACAGGGAGAATAACTGTGCCCTCCTTTGGTATGATCTCTGAGTACATTTTAAGTTTTATGTCCAAGTGAAATCCTTCTTAAATACTTTTTTTAAAAATGGTGTAATTTTGATATACAATATAGTTTAAAAGTAGACGTTGCAAGATTATGCTTCAACCGTCTCTTCTGTAATATGCCTTTCTTTTCTTTTTATATATGAGCAGACATGGATTCTAAGTGGAGACAGAGTCTTCTTAAGCTTCTGATTTTTTAGGCCATATTAACTGCCTAGATGTTATTCATTAAGAACTCCATTAATCCATCCGAATCAGATCCTAAAAAGGAAGTTCATAATTTACCTTTAGTTACTTTAAACAATACATAAATTTTTCCATCCTTTACAAAAAATTATTAAAAATGTACGATTCACTTATTGTTACTTTCAATAAACAAATGCATTTTTATGTGATAAATAATTTTACTTTCATGTGGGAATACTTAAAAAGCAATAGATGCATTATTTTATTGTTGTTAGCACGATTCTAAGGACTTCTTTTGGACTGGAGCGTGTCAGAGATGAGGATGGGCAGGGCTCAGATCTGTTGTTCATAGGGTCTTTCCGAGTCATATGTGATGGACAGCACCTAACAACAGCAACAGGTAGTTCTGTATGTCAGAAATGCATTTTTGTTCTCGTTCCTGTGCCTATCAATTTTTATTACATTCTTTATGTGTATGTTTTCCCTTCCTCTTGTCTTTTTGTGTGTTTTCTATAGATTTCCTCCTCTGACGCTCCTCTTCAGCCTTTGGTATCCTCTCCTTCTCTGCAAGCTGCTGTTGAGAAAAACAAATTGGAGGTATGCTAGTGTTTTAGCCACCTGCATTATGTAACGTTCAGTGGTCAGTTGCCTTTTGTAATATACTGTAGTTTGGCGGTACTATAATATTTATATATTGAATAATATTAATAATCATGCAAAATACATTATCTAGAATATTCTGTCACAGATAGAATTGAATATAATTTCACTATAATTTCAGAATGATTGACTGATGGCTTTAATAGGTGTATCTCTACAATTTAAAAGAAGTATTTTATAATATTTCTTTTTTATTCATTATTGCACATTCTACCCCATTCCAGCCCATCTTGCAAAGCATTCCTTGTACCATATTGTTGTCATACATATGATGCCTAATCCTATATTCCTTTCAGGCAGTTCTTTTCTTCATCTATTCTAATGCAGCATTCATTATCTGTTCCTTTCCCATTCCCTCCCCAAACTCCCCATGTCTCTTCTTTATATCAGTGGTTTTATGAAAAAGCAGTCAGTACTTTTATTGTTTAAATGACTAATTTTTATTTACAGAAGTTTTTTATAATTGCTTTGAGTTCTTTTCTATAAAGAAAGTCTTTGATTAATTTTTTATTATGTAATTAGAAGTCCTTGGATAAAATTAAGGTCCTTTTATGTCATGTGGAAGCATAGGTTTCATATAATCAATAATTATTTGAATGAGTTTGGGGTGACAATGCTTAAAATTGCATGATACTGCTGTTATGTATTTTAAAGCCATCTGTATACATATTTGAGGGTCTTTCTGAATTTTTGGTTTTTGTTCTATGAAACAACGTTTTGAGGAGAAGGGTACCTACTACTAAGAAAATGATGTGCTAGATTAGTCCTTATTCGTATAACATTTTTCTGACTCTATGGATAGGAGTCGTTTGTTGCTCAGATTGTATGACGTTAGCTGCCGTGCTGTTAGTATTACTTAAGTGTTTTTCATAATACCAGTGCCAGAATCAGAGAAAATTACACCTACATTAGAACAACCAATAGTCTAGTCTTAAAGGACATTGAATATAGCTCTCATTCTAGCAAAAGGAAACTTTGGAAGATTTATGGATTTTTTTTTAGTTGATTTAAAATATGCCTAGCAAGTCTAGTGATTAAGAAGATAAGAATTTCCCCCACTCCCTTGATAGTGACTTCCTCAAAAATCAACAGCTCTGAGAGGTTATAATCGCTTTCCTTGCCAAACTTGATTACTGGTATTTAGAACATAAAAACTTTCAGCTATCACATTTATCTTCACTTACAAATAGGGGATAACATTCTTTATAACCTTACTTGTTTTAATGATTACATGAGGCAAAACTGCCAGCACATAGTAAGGTTTATGTAAATACTAGCTGCTTTTGTACAGAACACTAGTGATAGCAAGAAAATAATTCCGTTGGAAACATAATGAATAGTAATAGAGAGTCTGGACTCTGTAGTCCCTCTGGCTTATCATTATGTCCAGTATTACTTTGATTAATCCTTCTCGGACAGAGAGTGGGGTGGAGCTCCCAGATTAAAACAAGCTTGGAAGGAGGAGTGGCATCCACTTCTGTAATAGCTTGCCTCCAGAAACCCTATGAACCTGGAGAGAGGATGAGAGACAGACACCCAAGCGTTGAGGACTCTCCTTCATAGGGTCACTTTGAGTCGCCTGCCACTCGATGGCACTTAACAACAACAACAACAACCCTTCTCTAAGATGTTGTTTCCTCATTTACACTTACAGGGAGCTCTGGTGGTCTAGTGGCAAGAAGCTGCACTGCAATCTTAGAGGCACACGGTTCAAATCCACCAGATGCTCTGCTGGAAAAGGAGGGACAATCTCCTCCTGTACCAGTCAGATCCGATTTGACAGCACACACACAAAATAATAAAATAAAATTAAAAACAAAACAAACCAAACCAAAAGAGTACACTTATTTTATAGAATTGTTATAAATAGAAGTTTTTATTTGGGAAATAATTGAGTTGCAGTAGGTAAAAACTATTGTTGTTAGTTGCCAACAAGTTGATCCCATCTCAGCAATCCTGTGAACCTAGAATGAAAAACTACGAGCCCTGCTCTATCCTCAGGAATTGTTGGTTTGCTTGTGCCATTTATTACGTTATCTTTTTCCAAGGATTGACCCCTCTTAATAACATGGTCAGTGTGTGAGATGGAGTCTCACTGTCCTTGCTTCTAAGGAGCATTCTGAATATACTACTACTACTACTTCTTCCCCCCCCCCAAACATCAATTACTCTTTATTGATTAGTCACCTTTCATAAGCTACAACGTGATCAAACATAGCAGGTACACTTCAGCCTGCAAAATCCTCAAAGGATTCCTTTGGAGAAAATCTGCCTAATGTAAGACATCTTTTGATTTCTTTTTTTTTTTTTTTAATTTACTATTAATTTCAATGAAAATATACAGAGACTTTGGATTTCCATTCATTCATTGTTGCACTTTTCTTCCCTCCCAAACCTCCCCCCTAGTACACTACCATCTTGGAAAAGTAAAAGAAAAATTCTTCCATTGTTTTATAATCCCTTCCCCCAGGTCCACTCTGCTATGTAGCCTTCGCTCTGGACTCCTGTCATGACAAAAATACCTAATCACATATCCCTTTTAAACAGTTTTCTCTTATCAGTTTTCAATGCAGTATACATTATTGAACTCATCTTTCTCATTCTCCCCCCAATTCCCATATCGGTCCTATTTTACAACAGTGGCACTATGCAGTATTTGTCCTTTTGTGACTGAGATATTTCACTCAGCATAGTGTCCTCCAGGGCCACCCATTTTGAATAATATTGCATGAGTTCCTGGTTTCTCAATGCAGTGTAGAATACACCACAGCTTCTCTATCCATTCGTTTGTTGATGGGCACTTAGGTTGTTTCCAACTCCTTGCTATTGTGAACAAAGCCACGATAAACATGAGTGTGTATATATCTGCTTGGATGTCAGTTATGGTCTCTTTGGGGTATATTCCCAGTAGTGGAATTGCTGGGTCAAATGATATCTCTATTTGCAACTTTTTAAGAAAGCACCATACTGCCTTCCACAGTGGTTGCACCATTATACACTCCCACCAACAGTGAATAAGGGTTTCCAGTTTCTCCACAACCTCGCCAGCATTTGTTGCTTGCTGCTCTGTTAAATTTTGCTATTCTGACTGGGGTGAGATGGTATCTCATAGTTGTTTTGATTTGCATTTCTCTTAGAGCTAGGGATTTTGAACATTTCTTCATGTGCTTGTTGGCCATATGAATGTCTTCTTTGGTGAAGTGCCTGTTCATATCCTGTGCCCATTTTTTTATTGGATATTTACTTTTATCTTCTTGTGGTTATTGAGTATTTTATAAATTCTAGATACAAGTCCCTTATCTGACATGTCATTACCAAGTACTTTTTCCTAGTCTGGCTTCCCTTTTTACCCTGTTGGAGAAGTTTTTGGATGTGCATAGGTATTTGATTCTTAGAAGGTCCCATTCATCTATTTTATCTTTTCCTGGTTGTTGAATATACTTCTTCCAAGACAATTTTTTTTCTCTTAACAGTCTATAATATAGTAAATATAATTCTTCACCAATACCACAGTTCAAAGGCATCAGTTTTTCTGATGTTTTCCATATATATTTTTCAGCTTTCACATACATATGTAGAAATTGAGAAATGGGTTGATTCAGGTAGACTTTACTCTTCATAGTGACATCCTTGCTCTTTAGAAAGACCTGTGGTATTGCAATGCCTTGAATGCTAGGCTGCTATCTGAAAGATTGGTGGTTTGACCAGCCACTGTGCAAAGTAAATGGTTTTGTTAAGGCTTTTTTTCTTAAATTTCAGATACACTTTGCTATAATTAATACTTGCTAGAAAATGAAGTTTGACATTATTTACAATTAAACCACCATTCTTGGAATTTGAATATTACAGGCATAAAGGTTTGCCACATGATCACAAGAAAGCCTTTCATTCTTTCCAGTTTTATATTTTAGCTATGGCATCCATGGCAAATTGTTCTTAAAAAATAGAATTTTAAGGTCCATTCAATCCGAGAGTTTCTTACGTCTTTGGGGCCTATTCATTTGCAAGTGGGAGTGGAAACTTGAACCAGGGTCTTCATATCATGCTTTCTCATATGATGCCAAATCTTTATATGCTATCCAATTTCTTTAAGATAAAGTGAGTGACTCACAGCAGAGCCACAGAGATGAGAAAGTTGTGTACGGAAGCGATAACATCTTTGTGCATCCTCCGTTTCAGTTCCTCTGGGTCTAGCTTCGGGTTGAGGGCCTCTATCCGGAACACTGTAGTCCTGCCTCCCTGCTACCAGGTGGGCTCCTCTGCTCCCTTCAAGTGGATTTTGTTAACTTTTGTAGTCTTGAAAAACCAGTAGATTGTTGCCTTGAGTTGTAATTGAGGGAACAATTTTGGATTTAAGTAATGTCTAGTCCTTAAAAGGTTGCATCTCCCTCCCAGTGTGAAGTTCTCGACCAAATCCTTATAGATTTAAAAATCTGTTTGGAGACATACACTTTCTATTTTCTTATAATGTCAGACTCTGTTAGCATTCTTAATGTTCAAAACAAAATGCCAATTTGACACATGGTCATCTGGTAGTAAAAGTATATATATCACTCTTCAGTTTTTTAGCACGTAAGACACTCAGAAAGTTCAAATTATTGTTGACTTTTATCCAGTCCTGAGAAACATTGAAACAGATGGTTTTAGAAAACTTCAGTCTGAAGGAACCTTTGCTGTAAACTTTGTCTGGACTCTGAAAATTCTACCTTTATATCCTTCTACTTGCATAGTTTAAAATCAGAAAGAGTGTTTGTCAGGATTGTATCCTTTCTCCATATCTGCTCAGCCTATATACTGAGCAACTAATTCACAAAGCCAAACTCTATGAAGAGGAACATAGCATCACAGTCAGAGGAATACTCTTCAGCAACCTGTGTTATTCAGATGACAACTTTGCTTGTTGAATGTGAGGAGGATATGAAACTCTTGCTGCAAAA